AGGCCGTGTCAAATGTATATGCCTTAGCCTATGTAGGCTGTAGTGGGGTAGACACTAAGGGGTACAGCTTTCATATTTGTATCTCACACTTTCCTAGTTCATTCATTCCTGTTTCTTTCTTCACATGGTATAGAGCGGGTTCCTACATGGGACCGTTCCTTCCTAAGGGCCCACCATAAGAATTTTCTTTTAGCTGCCCGAAGCGCATTGCGCCCTGCCCTAATTTTTTTTTTTTTTTCGCGGCCCCCTAGCGGCTCCTACGCGGCCCCTACGAGGCCCCTACGCGGCCCCTACCCGGCCCCTACGCGGCCCCTACCCGGCCCCTACGTTGCCTCTGACGCGGCCCCTACTCGGCCCCTACTGCGGCCCCTGACGCGGCCCCTGACGCGGACCCTGACGCGGCCCCTGCCGCGGCCCCTGACGCGGCCCCTGACGCGGCCCCTGACGCGGCCCCTGCCGCGGCCCCTACGCGGACCCTGACGCGGCCCCTACGCCGCCCCTGACGCGGCCCCTACGCCGCCCCTGACGCGGCCCCTACGCCGCCCCTGACGCGGCCCCTACGCCGCCCCTGACGCGGCCCCTACGTCGCCCCTGCCGCGGCCCCTACGTCGCCCCTGACGCGGCCCCTGCGCCGCCCCTGACGCGGCCCCTGCGCCGCCCCTGCCGCGGCCCCTGACGCGGCCCCTGACGCGACCCCTGCCGCGGCCCCTGACGCGGCCCCTACGCGGCCCCTGACGCGGCCCCTACGCCGCCCCTGACGCCGCCCCTAGCCGCCCCTACACGGCCCCTACGCCGCCCCTGACGCGGCCCCTACGCCGCCCCTGTCGCGGCCCCTACGCCGCCCCTGACGCGGCCCTCAGCCGCCCCTGACGCGGCCCCTACACTGTCCCTGACGCGGCCCCTACGCCGTCCCTGCACGGCCCGGCCCGGCCCTGTCCCTGACGCGGCCCTTGCCGCGGCCACTCGGCCTCGACTTTGTCCCGACCCAACCCCGAACTCTCGGCTCTGCCCCTGGTGAGACCTAGCCGGGCCGAGCCGCGCGGCCGACCCGCACTGCGCTGTCGAGTCGCCCTGCCGAGTCGCGCTGTCCTGCCTAGCTCAGTTGCACTGCTGCCGCTGATAGTCTCCTGCTGCTCCTACCATGGCTAGTCCTACCCTTCTCACCTTTGATGCTGAGGGTCGAGCGGTTGCATTTGATGTCTGGCTAGATGACTTGCAGCTTTTCCTTCAATGCGATAGCAGAGATGGCCTCTCCCTGTTTGACCTTACGTCGGGCGCCTCTACTGCCCCTGCTGCTGATGCTGACAGTACCGTTCGCTCGCAGTGGCTCACGCGCGATGCTGCTGCCCGCCTTGCTGTGCGCAGTCACCTACCGGCTACTGAGCGCGCGCACTTTAGTCAGTACAAGAGTGCTAGGACTCTGTACGACGCTGTAGTTGCACGCTACTCTTCCCCTGCCACTGCTGCGCTTAGCCGCCTCATGCTACCGTACCTTTTCCCTGACCTCGCTGCCTTTGCCACAGTCACTGACCTCATTACGCACCTCCGCACTAGTGACACTCGCTACCGCGCTGCGCTCCCTGCTGAGTTCTGCGCCCAGAACCCCCCCCCCCCCATGTACATCACCCTCTACTACCCATTCACTCGACTCCCTGACACTCTCCGCTCGGTCAGGGACCACTTCCTCTCTCTCTGCCCTACCACCCTCACTGTCGACCTCCTTGAGGAGCGCCTCCTTGCAGCAGAGACTAGTATTACCGCTGTAGGCGCCTCTCGTGGTGACCCCCGTACCCCTTTCTTTGAGGGGTGCTCCCCCGTTCCTCTTTTGCCCTCTGTTGCCTCTGCTGCTGCTGTCGACCTTGTTGGCACCGAGTCGGTCAGCGCTGCGTCTGCTCCTAGTGAGAGGCGCCGCATCAGCAAGGGCAAGCGGGGCAGGGGAGCTGGAGGAGGTAGTGGGGGCGGCAGTAGTGGCGGAGGCGGCGGAGGAGGGGGTGGGGGTGGGGGTGGTGGCAGAGGTGGGGGCTTCGGTGGCGGCGGTGGAGGTGGAGGCAGCGGTGGCGGTGGTGGGAGGGGTGGAGGAGGCGGAGGCGGCGGCGGCGGAGGTGGAGCCGGCAGAGGCGGAGCTGAGCAGCGGGGACCCCAGCAGCAGCAGCGCTCTCGTGGGACCCCTTCGCCCCAGCAGCTTCGTGAGTGGTACGCGGGGCGTCAGGGGTCTGGAGGTGCTGGTCCCTGTACTTACGTCCTGCACACCGGCGACCGCACTGGAGAGCAGTGTGGCGGCCTGCACGCCACCCAGCGCTCGGTCGCCTGACGGACGCCTGGTGTGCCCAGTTCCCGGACGCCACTGAGATCCCTCGTTGGCATGACCTGCACAGGTCGGGGGTAGCTATCTTTGATCTTGACTTTGATGCTATTCTTGCTGCTATGTATGCTGTGTCTATTAGTGCTGAGGGTGACTGTTACGTGTGTGTTCCGCCTGACCCTGGTATTGAGGCTGCTGCTCTAGGTGCTAGTGAGTCTGCTGCTCCAGGTACTCGTGAGTCTGCTCCTCTAGGTGCTGGTGAGTCTACTCTCTCAGGTACCGAGTCGGCTCAGGTCTTTCACACCTTCACCCTCGACTCGGGTGCTTCCCGCTCCTTCTTTCGAGACCGCACCACCCTTACGCCGCTCAGTCGGCCGGTTGCGGTCTCCCTGGCAGACCCCTCTGGGGGTCCTGTCCTTGCTCGCTACTCCACTGTCCTCCCGTGTCCGGCGGCCTCGTCAGGCTCCCTGTCTGGTCTCTACCTCCCCTCTTTCTCCACGAACTTGGTGAGTGGTGCTGACCTTCAGGATGCCGGAGTTGACCAGTTCACTCCTGCACGGCAGCGAGTGACCCACTGCTCGTGTGCTCAGACGGGCCGCCACTTGGCCACGTTTACCCGTCGACCGGGGTCGAGCCTGTACACACTGACCACAGAGTCTCCTCCGGTTGCCGCGTGTGGTCAGGTAGCTGCGTCGAGTCAGGTGTTTGCTGCGGCGTCTCGGTCAGGTCCTGAGTCTGCCCCCTGCTCGTGTCGCCTCCTGTCCCACCAGACCCTCCTCTGGCACCACCGACTTGGTCACCCCTCCTTACCTCGTCTCCGAGGTATGGCCTCCCGTGTCCTTGTCTCTGGTCTCCCCCGGTCCCTCCCTCCCCTTCCCCCGGGGCCTGCCCCTACCTGCGTTCCCTGCGTCGAGGGGCGGCAGCGCGCCGCTCCTCACTCCTCCGAGTTTCCCCCCACAGAGGCTCCACTGCAGACTCTTCACATGGACGTGTGGGGCCCAGCCCGCGTCCGTGGACAGGGTCACGAGCGTTACTTCCTGCTGGTGGTTGACGACTACTCGCGTTACACCACAGTCTTCCCCTTGCGCAGCAAGGGTGAGGTCACTGAGGTGTTGATCGACTGGATCCGCGTTGCTCGTCTCCAACTCAGAGAGCGTTTCGGCTCGGACTTTCCTGTTTTGCGTCTGCACTCCGACAGAGGCGGAGAGTTTTCCTCCGACCTTCTGCGAGCCTTCTGTCGTGCGGAGGGCATCCGCCAGACGTTCACGCTTCCGGCCTCTCCACAGCAAAATGGGATTGCTGAGCGCCGCATTGGCATGGTCATGGATGTCGCTCGTACGTCCATGATCCATGCAGCTGCTCCCCATTTTCTGTGGCCGTTCGCGGTTCAGTACGCGGCGCATCAGATCAACCTTCAGCCCCGGGTCTCCCTGCCGGAGACCTCCCCTACTCTGCGGTGGACGGGGAAGGTTGGTGATGCGTCTGCGTTCCGTGTCTGGGGATCTCGAGCTTTCGTCCGAGACTTGTCTGCGGACAAGCTGTCCTCCCGTGCTGTTCCTTGCGTCTTCCTCGGCTTTCCCCCTGACGCGCCTGGTTGGCAGTTTTACCACCCCACCTCGCGTCGTGTTCTGTCCTCCCAGGACGTCACGTTTGACGAGTCGGTTCCGTACTACCGTCTCTTCCCCTACCGCACTGCCCCCCTCCCCCCCCCGCCGCTCTTCCTCGCTCTCGGTCCCCCCCCGGTAGACCCCCTCCCCCCTCAGGGTCCTGCCCCCTCAGGTGTGTCCCAGGTAGATGCAGTCGAGCCTGTCGAGGTAGCTGCTGACTCTGGTGCGTCTGGGGGTGCTGAGCCTGAGCGTGCGGAGCCTGGGGGTGCTGGGTCTGGGGGTGCTGAGCCTGAGCTTGCGGAGCCTGGGGGTGCTGGGTCTGGGGGTGCTGAGCCTGAGCGTGCGGGACCTGGGGGTGCTGCTTCTGGGGGTACTGAGCCTGGGGCTGCTGGGAGTGGGGGTGTGGAGCCTGTCGGTGCTGGACCTGGCGGTCCTTCGGGTGCTTTGTCCCGGCGGGAGCTTCCCTCTCCACAGGAGCTGCGCGAGTGGTTTGCTCGCCGCTGGAGCCGTGCTGCTGGAGCTGGAGGTTCTGCTGCTGCTGGAGGTTCTGGAGCTGGAGGTGCTGCTGGAGCCGGTACTGGAGGTTCTGCTTCTGCTGGGGGTGCTGGAGCCACGGGTCCCGGAGGTGCTCGTACTGGAGGTACTGGAGCTGCTGGGCCTGGTGGTGCTCCTGGTGCTGGAGCTGGTGGTGCTGCTGGTGGTGCTGCTGGTGGTGGAGCTGGTGGTGCTGCTGGTGGTGCTGCTGGTGGTGCTGCTGGAGCTACAGGTGGAGCTGGAGCTGGTGGTGCTGCTGGAGTGGGTGCTACTGGAGGTCCTGGAGCCGGAGCGGCTGTGTCTGCTGGTGGTCCTGCTGGAGCTTGAGCTGCTGGAGGTACTGGAGCTGGTGGTGCTGCTGGAGTTGGAGCTGACGCTGGGGGTACTGGTGTTGTCCCTGCTGGTTCTGGAGGTGCTGCGCGGCCGCGGCCGTACTTCGTTCCGCTCCTTGAGCAGGTTCTTGGTCTTCCGCCTTCTCCTAGTCCTGCTCGGCTGTGGCGGTGAGGACGCCGTGGGACGTGCCCGAGACGGACGACGCCTTCCACATCCGCCTCGACATGCCAGGTGCGCCGTCCGCCCTGCCTCCTGTTTCATACACGAATAATTTTCTTCTGCTGATTCGCAGCGATGAGATTATTGTACTTTTGCTCTGCTGGCGTTTTTGGTGGTGACGCATGCAGGTCTGTCCAAGGAGGAGGTGTCGGTGAAGCTGGAGAATGGCAGTCTGGTGATTCGCGGAGAGCACAAGGTGGAGGAGAAGGGCGGAGAGGAGGGAGAGGGACTCTGGGATGCGCGCATCGCCAAGTCTTACCAGGTGAGGTGCATCGAGAAGTTGCTACTTCATCTGTCCTGACAAAATCTGCAGAACAAATTTTTTTGGGCGCATCTTGTTTCAAAGTGTTGATGTTTTGCATCGTCGATTCACCCGCATCTTCTTTCAAATTCGTAATGTTGCTGGTTTTGCAGACTACTCTGGCCCTTCCGGACAACGTTCTCACGGATCAGATTAAGGCGGAGATGAAGAATGGTGTGCTCACTGTCACTATGGCCAAGGAAGATCCGCCCGAGGCTGCTCCCTCTGCCATCGAGATCCCAGTTGCTTGAAGGGAATGATTCTTTATTGAGATTCGCGCTCTCATTTAGAGCACGAGATTTCGAAGTGTACATTTTCGTAGCCTTTACTGAAGTTACTTGAAAAGCAGGCTGTTGTGTGTGATGTTTTGTTAGTGTACAGCTTTCAGTTTGCATTTTGGTGTTGAGATTGAGCATTGTACGATGAATACGGTACTCTGTGCAAGATTGATCGCCCCAACTACAACAAATCTGTAATACGGATGTTCCAAACCACAACCACAATCCAGTCCTTTATGCAGTCTGGCTGGCCAACGCACCGGTAACTTGGGAGCGTACCCTTGCTATAGGTAACCACAGATGAAACAGCCTGACAACAGAAAGAAACGTCTGTTTTGATCCACCAGGCTATTATTGCAAAAACAATGTGGTGTGTATAATGGATTTGCATTCTGCTGTGCTAAGGTGGAACCCATTTGCCTGATGTGAAAGTGCCATAGAAGGGGCTTCTTGTTGACACCGCATAGAATACTGAAGCATGCGGTTTGCACAGCATAATGCGTAGGGCATTAGGGGTGGAGAGAGGGCCGAGGGGCGGGCAAGGGAATGGGGGGGTCGGAATGTGGAGAAAGAAACGAGAAACACACTGTTGAAATGACAAACATGACTTGAAAGTCCTCCACGTTGTATGCAAGATGAATGGACATGGAAAACGACGACTCACCAGGGACACCTGGAACGATATGATTGGGTAGTGTGAGCACTTTCGCGAGGGGCTGGTCGAGAGGCACTTGCACCCACTGCTGCTCGCCCGATGCTGCAGTGGTAGCACATGTGGGTGAATTTAGTGGCGAGGCGAGCACATGCGAGAGGACATTCATGCGGTACGAGGAGTGAGAGCGAAAAGGAGAGAGAGGGAGAGGGGCTCGGAGAGAAGGGCTCGAGATGGAAAGGCAAAATGGGAAAGGAAGGTTGTGCGGCAGAGATGGAACGGGAAAAGACCACATGTGTGGAGGAAAAATGACGAGTGATCTTGATGTCAAACATTAATCACATAGCCTGTTTAGGCTGTAGTGGGGTAGACACTATGGGGTACAGTTTGTTAGGGTTTCCTATTTGTACCCAACTCATTTCCTAGTCATTCATTCCTATTGTTTAACATGGTATAGAGCGGGTTCCCTAGTGGAACTGTTCCTTCCTATGGGCCCACCTTACGCGGCCTGCCCTCCCCTTACGCGGCCCCTTACGCGGCCCCTTACGCGGCCCCCTACAAGGCCCCTTACGCGGCCCCCTACGCGGCCCCCCCTACGCGGCCCCCCCTACGCGGCCCCGACCCTGTCCCGGCCCCGTAGCGGCCCCGTCGCGGCCCCGACCCTGTCCCGGCCCCGTCGCGGCCCCTTACGCGGCCCCTTACGCGGCCCCCTACGTGTCCCCCCTACGCGGCCCCTTACGCGGCCCCTTACGCGGCCCCCTATGCGGCCCCCCTACGCGGCCCCCCTACTCGGCACCGACCCTGTCCCGGCCCTGTCGCGGCCCCGTCCCGGACCTGCCCCGGCCCCGACCCTGTCCCGGCCCTGCCCCGGCCCCGTCGCGGCCTCGTCCCGGACCTGCCCCGGCCCCGACCCTGTCCCGGCCTTGCCCCGACCTCGTCGAGGCCCCGTCCCGGACCTGCCCCGGCCCCGACCCTGTCCCGGCCTTGCCCCGGCCCCGTCACGGCCCCGTCCCGGACCTGCCCCGGCCCCGACCCTGTCCCGGCCCAGTCGCGGCCCCGTCCCGGACCTGCCTCGGCCCCGACCTTCTCCCGGCCCCGGCCCCGACCCTGCCCTGGCCCCGTTGCGGCCCCGTCCCGGACCTGCCCCGGCCCCGACCCAGTCCCCGAACATGTCGCAGCCCTGCCCCGGCCCTCCCTCGGCCCTGCCCCGGCCTCGCCCCTGGTAAGAGCATAGCAGGGCCGAGCCGCGCTGCCGAGCCGCACTGCCCTGCCGAGCCGCCCTGCCGAGTCGCGCTGCCCTGCCTAGCTGAGTTGCACTGCTACTGCTGCTAGTCTGCTGCTGCTCCCGTCATGGCTAGTCCCAGTGTTCTTACCTTTGATGCTGAGGGTCGAGCGGTTGACTTCGATGTCTGGCTAGATGATCTGCAGCTTTTCCTACAGTGCGATAGCAAGTATGGCCTCTCACTGTTCGATCTCACGTCTGGCGCCTCTACTGCCCCTGCTGCTGATGCTGACAGTGCTGTTCGCTCGCAGTGGCTCACGCGCGATGCTGCTGCCCGCCTTGCTGTGCGTAGTCACCTACCGTCTACTGAGCGCACGCACTTTAGTCAGTACAAGAGTGCTAAGACTCTGTACGACGCTGTAGTTGCACGCTACTCTTCCCCTGCCACTGCTGCGCTTAGCCGCCTCATGCTACCGTACCTGTTCCCTGACCTCGCCGCTTTTGCCACAGTCACTGACCTCATTACGCACCTCCTCACTAGTGACACTCGCTACCGCGCTGCACTTCCTGCTGAGTTCTGCGCAAAGAACCCCCCCCCCATGTACATCACCCTCTACTACCTAGTCACCCGACTCCCTGACACTCTTCGCTCGGTCAGGGACCACTTCCTCTCTCTTTGCCCTACCACTCTCACCGTTGACCTCCTCGAGGAGCGCCTCCTTGCAGCAGAGACTAGTATTACCGCTGTAGGAGCCTCTCGTGGTGACCCCCGTACCCCTTTCTTTGAGGGGTGCTCCCCCGTTCCTCTTTTGCCCTCCGTTGCCTCTACTGCTGCTGTCGACCTTGTTGGCACCGAGTCGGTCAGCGCTGCGTCTGCTCCTAGTGAGAGGCACCGCAACAGCAAGGGCAAGCGGGGCAAGGGCGCTGGAGGAGGTGGTGGGGGAGGTGGTAGTGGCGGTGGAGGCGGAGGAGGGGGTGGGGGTGGGGGTGGTGGCAGAGGTGGGGGCTTCGGTGGCAGCGGTGGAGGTGGAGGCGGCGGTGGCGGTGGCGGTTGGGGTGGAGGAGGCGGAGGCGGCGGCGGCGGAGGTGGAGCTGGTAGAGGCGGAGCTGTGCAGCGGGGACCCCAGCACCAGTCATGCTCTCGTGAGACCCCGTCGCCCCAGCAGCTTCGTGAGTGGTACGCAGGGCGCCAGGGGTCTGGGGGTGCTGGTCCCTGTGCCTACGTCCTGCGCACAGGCGACCGCACTGGAGAGCAATGTGGTGGCCAACACGCCACCCAGCGCTGCTTCGGTCGCCTGACTGACGCCTGGCGTACCCAGTTCCCTGACGCCACTGAGATCCCTCGCTGGGGTGATCTGCTCAAGTCGGGTGTAGCTATCTTTGATCTTGACTTTGATGCTATTCTTGCTGCCATGTATGCTGTGTCTATTAGTGCTGAGGGTGACTGTTACGTGCGTGTTCCGCCTGACCCGGGCATTGAGGGCTGCTCTAGGTGCTCGTGAGTCTGCTGCTCTAGGTTCTAGTGAGTCTGCTGCTCTAGGTGCTGGTGAGTCTGCTCTCTCAGGTACCGCGTCGGCTCAGGTCTTGCACACCTTCACCCTCGACTCGGGTGCTTCCCGCTCCTTCTTTCGAGACCGCACCACCCTTACGCCGCTCAGTCGGCCGGTTGCGGTCTCCCTGGCAGACCCCTCTGGGGGTCCTGTTCTTGCTCGCTACTCCACTGTCCTCCCGTGTCCGGCGGCCCCGTCTGGCTCCCTGTCTGGTCCCTACCTCCCCTCGTTCTCTACGAACTTGGTAAGTGGAGCTGACCTTCAGGATGCCGGGGTTGACCAGTTCACTCCTGCGAGTCAGCGAGTGACCCACTGCATGTGTGCTCAGACGGGCCGCCACTTGGCCACGTTTACCCGTCGACCGGGGTCGAGCCTGTACACACTGACCACAGAGTCTCCCCCGGTTGCTGCGTCTGGTCAGGTAGCTGCGTCGAGTCAGGTGTTTGCTGCAGCGTCTCGGTCAGGTCCTGAGTTTGCCCCCTGCTCGTGTCGCCTCCTGTCCCACCAGACCCTCCTCTGGCACCACCGCCCTGGTCACCCCTCCTTGCCTCGTCTCCGAGGCATGGCCTCCCGTGTCCTTGTCTCTGGTCTCCCCCGGTCCCTCCCTCCCCTTCCCCCGGGGCCTGCCCCTACCTGCGTTCCCTGCGTCGAGGGGCGGCAGCGCGCCGCTCCTCACTCCTCCGAGTTTCCCCCGACAGAGGCTCCGCTGCAGACTCTCCACATGGACGTGTGGGGCCCAGCCCGCGTCCGTGGACAGGGTCACGAGCGTTACTTCCTGCTGGTGGTTGACGACTACTCGCGTTACACCACAGTCTTCCCCTTGCGCAGCAAGGGTGAGGTCACTGAGGTGTTGATCGACTGGATCCGCGTTGCTCGTCTCCAGCTCAGAGAGCGTTTTGTCAGAATGTTGTATTTGTCTAGCCTGCAGTGGGGTACTCTATAGCGAGTACAGCCCAATCTAGGGTTTCCTATATGTACTCAACTGCTTGCTAGTGAAACCCCTCCTTTCTTCATTCTTACTTTCTACTGCTGGTTCTGACATGCTATCAGAGCAGGTCGATCCCCTTGGGTCGATCCTGTGGGTGGGCCCACCACCTCACTGCTTCCGCTGCTACTGCTATTCTGTGTGTTGCACGCCCCGTGGCGTGCGACGGATTTTTCATCCCGCCGCGCGCTCGGAGCGTGCGGCGGTTTTCTGCCCGCCGTGCGCCCCGAGGCGCGCGGCGGTTTTCTGCTCGCCGTGCGCCCCGAGGCGCGCGGCGGTTTTCTGCCCGCCGTGCGCCCCGAGGCGCGCGGCGGCTTTCTGCCCCGTCACTCCGCGCGTCGCTCCCGGGAGGCGCTGCGACGGGCGACGGGGACTCGCGCGTCGCCCCCCGTCGCCCGTCGCGGCCTGCGCGACCTGCGTAGGGCCCGCGCGCGGCCCGTACAGCCTGCGCGCGGCCCGTACGGGCTGCGCCAGGCCCGCGCGCGGCCCGTACGGGCTGCGCCAGGCCCGCGCGCGGCCCGTACGGGCAGCGCCAGGCCCGCGCGCGGCCCGTACGGACTGCGC